ATGTTCCAGCTTCTAAAAGTTGAGGCTCTAAAAATGAAGGATGTACTAGCACGTGCTGGCAGGTCCTGGATTGAAGATTGAAGATTTCTGACACTTGTTTCTGGCAATCTTCGAACATGTACTTAGGGCAATCCAGGGTGCGCACGTGCTAGCACGTGCTAGCGCTTCTCTGACAACTCTCTCTGGGATTCTTCAACCTTCAATCTTCAACCCAGGATGTGCTAGCACGTGTTGTCAGTGAATCTTCAATCTTCAATCTTCAATCCAGGATTTCTAGAACAAGTGGTCTGAGAATCTTCAATCTTCAACCTTCAACCCAGGATGCGCTAGCACGTGCTAGCACATCCTGGATTGCTCTAAGTACACATTTGAAGAATTCCAGAAAGAGTTGCTAGAGAATCTTCAATCTTCAATCCAGATCCTGGTGTGCCCTAAGTGCGGATTTGAAGAATCCAAGAGGCAACCGGGAGTGCATGTGCACTTGCATTGGCTGCATTTGGCCAGGGGGGAAAAATGTTTTGTCACCGTTACAGTTCTGGACTTGAGGGCTGACCAGGATGGACGATTCTCATGTACAAAATCTGGTAGATCTTCAATCCTCAATGCAGGGGGCAAATAGCGAGTCTAGTCTAGAAACTGTCAAGCTTTTTGGGGGCCAGGATTGGGGATGTTTTATAAGCATGTTTGTGGAATCTTGTCTGTTCAGTCTTCGATCCAGGGCAGCACGATCTGAGCAAAGGCTGAAAAACATGGCGTTTTACAGCATTTCTGCCAAGAATAAGACCTATGTTTGAAACACTTTTCTGTCATTGGCTTGGCTCAGTTCTTGCTTGGTTCAAACCACATGGGCTTCGATAAGGACAATAACCCTTTCAAAATTGAGTTTGATTCCAAGTTCATTTGGCCATGACACTAGCTATCTTCTCCAGTTGATTTTCGAAATGCGCAAGAAACTGCAAACGATCAAAATTGAATTTGGTTTGAACTCAAAAGCATTTTAAACTGGATATCCTTCCTTTACTTGAACTTCAATAGTTGCTATTGGCGATGATTGAATGAACTTAGACAAGCAGCATACAAGTGAGATAGTTGCTCTACAAAATATGTTTCAAATAGACTGAGCTAGCATGTACATGGAATCATGCACAGCACTTAAGTTAACATGTAAATGCAACTTCGCAAAGACATGAAGTAGGAATGAGTTCCTTTTCCTCAAGTTGATGATTTGCTGAATTTCGCTGCCCAAATACAATAGAAGTCAAGCAATAGAGCTGCTACAGGCGCGTTGAAGCTGCCAAAGCATACTTCGCGCACTACTCTTGTGCTAAAAAGTTGTGCTTTTTTAGCTGGAGCTGCCAAAGTGCACTATTCAACGTTGGGCTTACCTTCTGCTTGGTTGGAATTTGCGTGGAGTTGCACGTCCAGTCAATTCATTTCAGAGTCGCAAGGCATTTGTCACCCCCAGTCTGTCCAAAAACCTGTTCTGGCCAAAAATCTGAGTATTTCAAGGGCAGTAGCATATATATATATGTATATATCACATAGTTTCCCCAGAGTCGGCTCGATTCCAGGGGCTCGCCGAGGGGCAAATTCCTCGGAGCGGCCGGCACAGCTCCTCTCGTCCGCTTGCTCCTCCTTCTCAGTCACTGGAGGCAGCCGCTGAGTCACGCGACTCAGGTCCTGGATCTCAATGAAACTCGGCATCAGAATAACTCAGGCATCAAATGCGAGAAATGCGACTCAACGGGAAACAACACCTTAAACCCAGTCTCCTCGTGCAAGCCATCCAGGCAAAACGCGAGGAACTCCTGCATCGGTCGCACAGGCTCACTCATGCTACCACCCTAGACCGACGTTCGAAAAGGTGGAAGGCAAGGCAGTTTGAGTTTTTATCCTAGGAGTGGGCAAAGACCAAACCATCGTGTCTGAGTAAAACGCGCCTGCTCGCGTGCACAAGTGCTGTCATTCAGAACAAGTCTGCCAAGTTCCTGGACGTCTTGCTGCTCATAGCCTTGGAAAAGGTGAGGGGCGATCTTGGCCAACCGCTGCTTGATTTCGCTCGGGTTCCTCAGGTCTGGCACCCCAAAGCTGCTGCCAAACTCTTGTCGGTGCGGGCCATGTGAAATTCGGAATAGGGCCTTTGAGACGCGCTCTTCCTCGTGCTACTAAGATTGTGCCCTTACATGCCACTGACACAACCATGGACAAACACATCGAGCAAAGCGCGGGTGCTCACAGCATCACCTGATTGTCAATCAGCGTTTCGAGCCAACACATGCTTAACGACAGTGTGGTGCCACTTTTCAAGCAGCTTCAATTAGTGCAAGGATCCTTCCATCAACATTCTAAAAAACGCAACTGACTGGACATTACTAATTAAACTCTCAGCCAACAGGGGAGCCAGTTGATGTGGCACTCGGCTCTGAACACAGTTCCCACTCGCCCAAAACCCGAACAAGGCCGTGCTCAATTTCCAACCTAGGACTTAGGACCCAACAGGCAAATGGTAGCCACAAACAAACAACTTAAGACTGGACGAAGCCCTTGGGCTCAAACGCGGCAGCAAGCACTGAGCAGATCACCCAAGACGTGTTGCCAGTGGCTTCGGGTCCCCCCTCCCTTTGCGGCTGGGCGGCTGAGCTGGACGCTCACTTTGCCACAGCACCTGGCCGGGTTAAGCACGCCACTTCGCACATTGAGACAATCTTAAGTGGACACACCGAACGGATCGAACGTGTCTGAAGCGCAAATGACTTCCATCCTTGCCTGCTGCAGCTCTGCAAAGAGTGACGCCAACTGACCCTTGGAGCCCAACGGGTTGCTGGTGTTCACTTCACCTTGGGGACTCGTGAGGCCGCTGCCTTGCTGCTCAACAAAATGCTTGCGGTTAGCCACGCATGGATAGGCGTGTGAGCCAACGGCACGTGGCACATCTAAAAGTCAAGCTTGGCCACGCTGAGGGGACCTCGAATGATGCTGAGCTCATGGCTTGCATACCTTCCACTGAGGAAGAAGGCTGCAAACGGCTCAATGTGGCTGAGACATTGCCTTGGATGCCCCCAAGGCATGGCAATGTGTCCCGACCTGAGGAACAACTAAAACCATGCCTGCACCCAGTTTGGAGTACTATCCACGGCGCTCGCGTCCTCCACCACGCTCGCACACGTCACGCCGAATATTTCAACCGCAACATCATGCACACCCGCATCAATTTCATGAGAATCTCCATTTCACCTCTTGGCTGTTAAAAAGGCATGGAAAAGCAATCAGCCAAGCAAAAATGTCCCATCCATGCAATGAATCTGCTGCTTTACCCTGAGGAAAGTTGCAGGCCGGCATTCATGAAGCAGGTGTTCCCCAGATTCTCCAGGCCAACGCGGCCTGCATGCTCGCAAAGCAATCGCGGGCTGCTTGATACACGCATACATTGAGTACATATGAAAATGCATATATGCATATGTTCATGTATACAAATAAATGTATACTCTGTTCACTCTGCACACATATCTAGACATATGCAGAGTGCGGATGCATACAATGGTGATGTATGTGCCATACTTCCACGTACCATATACGGGAGCGAAAGCCTGAAGCTCAGTGGGCTTCGCAGGTGAGAATCAATCAGCCTTTCCTAAACTCAAACACCCGCTGATTTCTTCGGACAAAACACGCCGTGTGCATATCGCTTGGGCCTGCGCGTCTTGCCAGCTGGATGTTGCCACAGTCAAGCCGCGGGGCAGGAGATGCCTGCCGAATGCCGGGCTTCGCTAGAGATAATGATGAGGCACCCAGAGATGGGGGTAGCAATGGATTGGGACATGTTCAAACCAAACCTAGGTTGAGCCCAACTTCTAAACAGGCTGCAAGACGTGAACCGCCGGAAAAAGCTCGACCATCAGGCACTAGTGGGATCTAGTCAACATGTCAAATGCCCGAAAGGGGCATCGCTTCTGAGGCTTCCGACCCACCCTTCGCTCCTCATCGTCACGCTCATTCCAGGCAGCAGATAAGAGCGCGCGTCCAGGAAGGGCAACCTGACGAACTTGTTCCAAATGTGAACGGTTCGGAAAGTCAAACAGGGCTGTAGGCGGCATGACCCTGGCCCCTGCATGGGCAAAGAGAAAAGGATACGTGACCTGGGAAAACTTTTGGAGTCAGAAGCTGGGCTGGTCTGCCTGACCTGCAGTAGTTCCAGCGTACCTGCTCCTACCAACACAAATGTGCCACCATCATAACACGCAAAATGCATCAAACATGCCAGGCATGCAGTGTACTTACTGCGCAAGGTATCAATTGCCTTGAGGTTAGTCTGGGTCTTCATCCATCTCACATTATTCGCCGTTCCAGAACCTGTATCAAAAGCCCCACTGGCCCTCAAGGTTAAGAACATGCCACCTGCCAATGCCAACCAGCCTCTGCCAAGCGCAGCATTGCCGAGGCTCACTTCATGGCAAGGCTCCCGGAGTTCAAGCTGGCCGATACAACACGTGTCTGAGTCGACGCAAGGATCTGTACTCAGCTAGGCATGCGTTGAAAGTCAAACAGCAAGTATCGGGAAGCAGCCAAAACCTTACAAGGCGGAATTCGGGCTGAAAGCCTCTCATGCTTCAACAGCCAAGTGCGGGTGACTCTGTGCTGCTTGAATGTAGGCCATCTGTCCATTCAAGTCCATGCAGCCGTGCTGGCTTCCAGCTATCAGATCCAAGCACGTGACCGACAATGAAGCGGCGAAGCGCGCGTGGCATGCTGTAGTTACTCACCCTGATCCACCGGGAAATGGCCCGGTGGAAATCCGAACATCTACAGTTCTCCATCAAAACAAAAAAGTGTGCTGCAATGTCATCTTGCGGTCAATGACCAGCCATACCTCCACGGAATAGAAGCAAACCATCCTAGATCATTGAGAGTTACAAGATGCGTGTTGCCTCAATGCCTGGCCCCATGAGTGAGTTTGCACGCAAATATACGCAAATGCCGCCTGCCCAAACGTCGCCACGAGCCTCTTCACCACGTACTTGACAGAGTCGTAGCGATGCCGAAGGACGCTGTTGCGGAAATCAAACCTCACCACCAAATGCTCACGGACCCCGGGGCACAGAAACGAGAAGGGTGACAGCTGCGTTGCAGAGCGGCAAATACAATTTCCCACTGCAAAGAAATGATATTCGGACAGTCTATGTGGGCCAACCTGCGAGCACTGAGCAAAAGCCCTCTTGACTGAAATGCCCCTTATGAGGAAGAACAACTCCATTTCACCTGGTGTTTAGGGCTTCTTGATTGCTCACGTGGCCTACACGCAGCATGCCCCCGACTCGGCTTACTGTACATCGCTGTTTATCTTGCGGTTCCGACAGTGGTCATCGTGCCACGTTGCGTCAAAAGGCGAGTTCAAACATCACTTGGACCAGGTCTAACAGTTTGAGGGCACATGCGCACTGCCGCGTCCACACTGTTTAAAATACCGTGTGTGACGTCCTGCCGGTTCAGAACAATCTGCAAAGCTATGATGCTACAGGGCACCGTGCGCAGCTGCTTTGAACATGGGGCCAAAGTTGTTTTTGCTTGAAATTTGCTTCTTTCACTTTCTCTCTGATCTCTCTTACAATGATGGGAAAGCTGCTGCGCTCTTCGGACACCAGCCTGTCAGCACTTGAAACCAAAAACCAATAGTATTTGTCCATCCCATCATGCCAACTGAGTGGCCAACTTGATCAAAACTGCTAAGGACCTTGGCTCGCTCTCCGAACCCTTCTCAGACCAAGTTTTGGCAATTCTGGAACACACACATCTCATCATACCGCAATACTTGGCCAACTCAGTGCAGGTGGGGCTCCGCTCTCAGCGCTTAAAAAGCAGATTCGATCTCCAAGCGCCTTGGTCTTTCACCTCACTGGCCGCTCCAGCGAAAGCTTAGCTCCGCTGGCGAGTGGTCCCATCGGCCTATCTCTACCCTGGCATGGGCCAGCATGCCCGTTGCACATACCCTTCCAACTGCGCAGCATTGGTGGTCAAGCCGCCAGGGGAGGGTCTCTTATACAGCACTTGAGGAGAACCTTTGGTGCTGAGGTATCTTGAGCAGGTGCGAGGAGAAGCAATCAGTGGAGCCAAACATCAACAGTTTACCTCTCGCTGTTCAGCTCTGCTTCCTCCTGCGTTCACCTGCATCAGGCAAAGCCATTGCTTGCCGTGATGCATCCAGCTCATCGTCGCTCACAACTCATGCTTACATGCAAGAAAATCCACTTCCACTGCTTCCGTGTGCTTCTTCACAGACGGCAGAGGTAGATTGCAGGTACTTGCACAATCGAACAGCGCGGCATGCAAAGGAGTGGCACCGAGGTGCACCGGCTGACCCAAGGTCTTGAATTCGGATTATGCACATGTTGCCGGCATGGCCATAACCCCTCCCGAAGGCAACTGTGAAATGTGAGTTTGTCGGCAGCTGGTACGACCCATCTGTGGGAAGGTTTTGGTGCCATGCGGCATGCGGCGTACAGCACAGGGCTCCGATCCAACGCCGCGAGAAAAAGAGAGCCCCGGCAGCTTCAAAGGAAATAAAAACGCACAGGTGGTGCCACCCCAGCCCCACTGGCACTCACGAGGTTGCCCGATGTGAAACTCAGCTGGCCTTAGCGTGTGACGGACACCGCACCGTATGTGAGGGCATCCTGGTAAGATGTACGAAGCGAGGTGGGCAGTCAAGGGAAACGGACATCCAAAAGGCTGAGGCGCATGTGCTGTGGAGCTTTTTACTCAAGTCCAACACTGCGCAAACTCGATCAGGGCCTGCTATTGGCCAAAGAACACCGTACGCCCAACAGGATGGGATAGCTATGACAAGCTCGTAAGACACTAAGAAACCCAAGTCATGTCATGCTGGCAAAACGAAGCAGCTGGCTGAGGAATGCTTTTATCTTTGATGCCAGAGTGATCCACAGTGTCAATATTTTACTCCCTGATGACTTGCATGTAATTATCAGTGGCCGCTTGGAACCAAGCAGCTTGAGCTAGAACTGATTTTGTGCTTTCACACTAGGTTGCCCACAAGAATCCTTTCAAACATGGATTGTTGCAACAGGAAGCCTACACACTTCTTGGCTGGGTGAATCGCAGGAAAATAACTCAAAGAGCCACCAGGTAAAGTCCCAACAGCTGGGTAGACATCTGAATGCGCCGCCGGGAAGCCAATTTATGATCGCGTATGGATCCGCCTTTTCAACGATGTCCGAGAAGATCCTCTAGGACAAGGCCATGGCTGATGTGTCCTCGAGCAACCATCTTGGCGGGGCAGGGGTGCAAGGATGATTGCAACCTCACCTGAGGTTCTATAAAACCCTCGCTGTTTGAAGAGTTCCTTTTTGGGGCTACCGGGTTAATTTAAGCTCCTTGCTGTTCTTCCTGGTTTAGGGTTCAGCCGGAAAAGCGCAATCCCACACGAAAACGACAACTGACCCACACACGCACACACGCGCATATGGCGCGACAAATCCCAAAATGTGAAAACTCGCTTTTTCCCAAAACACGCTGAGAAAACCGCATAAACCTAGGTCCCCGTGACAACTCTAGGCTGGTTTAGGGTAGGTTTAGGGCGGCTTAGGGTTGTTTTGAAGCCAATTAGTGATCTCAACAAAGGAGCGTGTTGGCGATCTGTGTCGCTAAACTGCTTTGCGCTGTTGCGCTGCTGCGCTGCTCGCTGCTGCGCTGATGACTTTGCGCCGCTCTGCTGTTGCGCTGCTGCGCTGCTTTTCTGCTGCACCGCTGCGCTGTTGCGCCGCTGAAGCCGCCTCCGTTGACGTGCGCCGCTGCGCCGTTGAGCTGCTGCGCCGTTCCGCTGTTGCGCCGTTGCGTCGCTGCACCGCTGCGCCGCTGAGCCGCTGCGCCGTCGCGCCGCTGCGCCGTTCGCGGTTGCGCTCTTGCGCCGTCGCGCTGCTGCGCCGTTGCGCCGCTGCGCCCTTGCGCCGCTGCGCCCTTGCGCCGCTGCACCGCTGCGCCGTTGCGCCGCTGCGCCGTTGCGCCGCTGCGCCGTTGCGCCGCTGCGCGGTTGCGCCGTTGCGCGTTTGCACCGCTGCGCTGTTACGCCGTTGCGCGGCTGCGCCGCTGCACCGCTGCGCCGCTGCGCCGTTGCGCCGTTTTGTTGCGCCATTGCGCTGTTACGCTGTCGCGCCTTGGCGCATTTGCGCCATTGCGCTGTTACGCCGTTGCGCTGTTGCGCCGCTGCACTGCTGCGCTCCGCCGTTGCGCTGCCGCGACGTTCTGCTGTTGCACCACTGCGCTGTTGCGCTGCCGCGCCGTTGCGCCGTTCCGATGTTGCGATTATCCTACCATATCCTACCATATCCTGCCGTATGCCGTCCAATCCTGTCTTATCCTACCTTCTCCCATCTTCTCCTATCGTATCCTATCTTCTTCCATGTGTCGATCTATCTATCTACATAGCTATCTATCAAGATATCATATCTGTCCTATCTTTCCTGTCTGTCCTTTTTGTCTTGTCGTATCAAGCCTATCTATGTTGTCCATATTACCTATCTGGTCTATCTGTTGTGTCTTATCTGCCTTGTCTATCATATCGATCATAACTATACTACCTACCTTATCTACCTTAGCTACCAAATCTTATCTTATTATACATTATCCTGTCTTATCTTGTCTTTCCTATCGTATCCTGTATTGTCCTATCTTATCCTATATTATCCTGTAGTATCCTATCTTGTCCTATATATCCCATGTTGGCCTATCTTGCCGTGTCTTATCCTATCTTAGCCTATCGTATCCTTTGTATAAATCGAATTATCTATCTATAATACATCTATCTATACATCTATGTATCAGTCAATCCTGTCTTGCCCCATCTTATCCTATCTTACCCTATCTTACCCGACCTTATCCTATCTCATCAGCCTACCCAGCTATCCTATCTATCCGATCGTTCCTATCTATCTCATCGTATATGTAAGTCTTATCGCTCTTATCTATCATATCATACCTACCTTATCGACATTACCTACCTTGTCTTGTCTTATCATATGTTATCGTGTCTTACCCTATCTTAAGTTATCTTTCCTGCTTTGTCCTATCTTATCCCCTCGCAGCCCTCGCATCCTATCTTACCCCATATTATCCTACCTTATCCTGCCTTACCCTATCTTGACATATCTTACCTTATCTTACCCAATCTTTTCCTATGTATCTATCAATCTATCTACCTATCTATCCTGTCTCCCCTGTATGTCCCATCTTTCCTATCTATCTCATCGCATGTAGCTTATGAATCGTTTCTATCCTACCTATCTGATCTATCTTATATCTTACCTGCCTGATCTATCTTGTCTATCATGTCTATCCTATTTATCTTCTCTACCTTGTCTACCTTACCTACCTTTACATTATCCTGTCTTGGCCTACCTTAACCTATCTTATATTACCGTATGCTATCTTACTCTGCCTTGTCCCATCTTGTCCTACCTTACCCCATGTTAGCCTATCTTGCCGTGCCTTATCCTATCTTATCCGACCGTAGCCTATCTTATCCTATGTGTCTATCTGTTTATCTATCATCTATCTATCCTATCTATCTGATTTTCTCCTAACTACCATATCTACCCTATCTTTCCTGCTTGTCCTCTTTATCTCATCGCGTCTATCTTCTCTATTTGTCCTGTCTTATCTACCTGATCTACCTTACATGGCTTATCTACCTTGTCTATCATATCTATCACATATATATATATATGTGCTATCTACCTTATCTATCCTAGCTGCCTTATGCTGATCTTATCACAAATTGTCCTGCCTTATCTTATCTGAGCCTATCTTATCCTGTATTTTCCCGTCGTATCCTATCTTATCATGTCTGATCCCATCTTGTCCTGTCTTATCCCACGTTGGCCTAGCTTGCCGTGTCCTATCCTATCTTGCCCTATGTACCTATCGATCTATCTATGTTATCTCTGAGACTGCTGGGGCTCAAAACACAAGTGATTGAAACATATTATTAACAACAAAAACGCAGCGAACACCTGCGAAAACCACGAAAACGCGAACACCGTGAAAGCCCCCAAAA